TGTTTTCCAAAACTATGTTGCTCGGGTGCTTTACATGAAATGTTGGATTCGTTGGCACATGAACAATTCATAAATGCTATAGTGGATGAGAATAGTAAATTAGGCTAAAGCAGATTAGTTGTACAACGTTAAAGGAAGCTGTCCACTTGGCGATAGAGTTTGGATTAATTAAACTCGCTGATAAACAAATGAAGACATCATCCAAAACCTATGGGATCATCAGATAAAGGTATGCGAAAATATCAACTCCTTATGATGGAAACCCTAAAAGGAAGAAATCAAGGAATTAATTAGATGATTATTTACTCAGAATAGAGAAAGTAAATCAGAAAACAATAGCTGCTTGAACTGTAAGGTAAAAAAATATCATATCGTCAGGAACTGCAAACAAAAGCCTGTAGGAAATAAAAAGTACTCCCAAATGATATCAGAAGAAGGAAACTGTTATATATTTGAAAATATGGAAATTACAGTCGGGACTACAAAGAATCAACATATGATAATAAACCAAGGAGACGATACTTTAACGATGAGTTCCAGAGTTCAACCAGATCAAATGAACAATAATTAACTACTTCTGTGGGTGAACATCAGAAAACATCGAATCAAGATCTTCAACTTCTTCTCATGAGTTACAGAACAGCAGTACACGAAGTTACACGCAACACTCCAGCATCACTGATGTCTGGGAGAGAACTCAAAGTATCATTGAATCTTCTAAGCTGTCATCGTGGGATCATCATTCAACAGAATCTTACACAGAGGTGAGAAGGGACGCAGTACTTATCACACTGGGCCAATCCTCATAGAAAACTGTTATTAAACAACTAACCAGTACAATATTTTATTAATTATGTGTTGTACATTAGAGAAGAAAAATTGTCATCGGTAACCTTGGACGACTTTGTGTGAGAAGGTAACAGGTTAGCCGCACCCATCACTCCCAGATCCACTTAATTATGCATAGTGAGCCGCAACCTCAATCTTGCCTGGAGAAGACTAGTTTTCGTATATACTCGTGTGCTCCTTATTGTAGTTCCTCTAGAAACTCTGAAATATTCTATAATACCATTTCAACTCCCCTTGGCCTAATGTTCCATATAACTAGAGGGGTCGCTCTTTAGTGATTTTCTTATCCAGGGACTGATCAGGGCCGCATTAACCGTGGCGCATTTGCGCCAGGGCCCCAACTGACAATCCAGACCATCAGTTTAACTCTCTCTTTTTTTGTTACATCTTCATATTTTATCTGTTATTTGTTCTCTTCTTATTCAGTAAAGACTATGTAAATTTGACCGACCTCGTAACCACCATAAAAAATACAAAATAAATCAAAATTACCATTTTTCTTTCTAGAATGACTTCATATTATAGCAGGAAACAACATTTCTTTACACTAAATAGTTTAAAACTTCCTAACCTTATACAACTCTTTATAATTAAATGTTATTGTTTTATTGTCTTTTGGACCGTGATTTTTAAAAATCACGCCATAAGAAGTGTCAAAATATGCGGTAACATGAAGCAAATGTTACATTAACCAAGTTACATAAAACTCGTGCTACTCGTGAGCTATCATTATATTTATTTTTGGCCCTGCATAGCCAGGTGGTTAAGGCGCTCGACTCGCAATCTGAGGGTCCCGGGTTCGAATCCCCGTCACACCGAATATGCTCGTTCTTTCAAAGAGGGAAGACTGTCAAGTAGATTGCATCCTTGACGTAAGAAACAGCTTTAGAAACGATGACAGAGCAAGATCTGCCATCGGCTCAACGGTCCGCAAGGACTATGAGAAATAAAAAAAAATATATTTATTTTTATTGCCTAATTTAACCTTATATAACCTAAAAGTTTCTAAGTTTTACATGTTTAGTTACTTTTATAATAATAAATAAAGAATAGATAAGAAAAACAAGAATACAGTAGAAGAACAGTTTAGGAGTGAGATTTCTAGAAAGAGAAAAAGGAAATTGGCGATTGATGAGACTTCTGAAATGAAATTAGTTTATCTGGAACTCAAACGTTTCGCGTATAAAATGTTATACCGGTAGTTGACAAGTTACAAATGTGTTTGGCAAATCGGCTTGCTGCATATAAAGCGACAGAAATGAAGTTTGGTTTTCTATCTAATGTCAAAAATTTAAATAAGACTGAATTTTTTTGCTGCAGCTAAAAGATTGGGAGACATATACTCTCCAGATCTAGACAGCTCTTTTTCCGATGAAATGTTAAAGTTTGCGACATTTTTTGATAGTGAAACACCATCCGCCCAACAATGCATCAAAACAGTAAGAAAAAATAAACAAACTCGAATCTGTTTTTCCTAATGTTGACGTGGCATTAAGAATATACTTGTGCCTACCCGCCTCGAATTGCAGTGCATAGAGAGCTTTTTCTAAAATGGCTAGAGTAAAAAATTAATTGCGTGCTTCGATGTTAAAT